TGACCTTTCCACTTATTTGATTAGTCTATACTATTTTTATCTATTTAATGAAACTATTGATTTAATTTTTTTTTTCCTTCTTATTTTCCGATAAAATAAATCTTCAATGATTCGTTTCATCTCATTAAAATTGCTTCGTAATAATTTTTGTTCGAGATTTCATTATTTATTCAGAAACAGCTTCATCAAATATGAGAAAGATCTAAGAGGGAAAAACTACTAAAAAATTATCCAGAATAATTTCATTAGTAGAATAGAATAGTTTGCGGTCTGTCACATAGGATTCTAAGAAACTATTCCATTTAGAAGGTGAAATAATATTCATATGTGCGTGTGAAGCATGCATGCGACGGAAGGGGAGATATTTCCCCCAAAATGTGACAAGACGAATTAAATATTAAACGACGAGGCAAGTTGAAACAACTGTTCACACAGTTATTACTACGATTCTTCAACCACAATTTCCCGCCACCGCGTAAATTGTATGAAATATTCAGAAATGTAATCCGAACGGAATGAGAACTGTAATCGGAGTAAGATTCTCACCGCTTGAAACTGCCGGCGTAAATCACGCGAAACGTTCAACGGCGCGATATTAAGGCCTTGAATAAGTGACGAAGGAAGCGACACCGGTGATTAACATTCGAGCCTTAATACTTTTCTACAGCTCTTCTCTCTCTCCAATCCGCTTTAGGAAATTCTATCTTAATATCGTATAGATTTTCATTCTTTCTTTTTTTTAAATTCTAACTTTTTGCATTCCAAGACATTTTTAATAAATGGTGTGTGATATTAGAGATATATATATCTATAAAATTTGGATTCGTTAAAACATTTTTTTATAATCATCTTTCAATACCTCGACAATATCGATCTTATCATAAATTTTGGAATTAATGTTTATATAGTCGAGTCAAGATGCGGTAAAAGTGCAATGGAAAGAAGCTTCAAGCTTAAAGAACATATAATACGTGCATCATGAAAATAAATTATTAATTATATTAAAATTATAAGCTTGAAGAGCTCTAAGAATTTTAATCAAATAAAACGTATATGTGTCACTTTTCGCACTTTTCCTACCATTTACGACCATCAACCATATAATAAATGAACCATATTATTTATTTATAGATATATCAAGTATATAAAATATCTATAAATATTCTATGAACAAACTAATGCCTACGAATAGAGGATTTATTAGAGTGTATAGATTAGCAAATTATTAGACCAATAAAGGATTACCTTCAATTCGATGAATCGATGAATAGGATTGAAACAAATTCAGAGAGAATGGAATCTCGAAACAAACGATCCATCCTATCGAAGCAAAATCCGTCCTATCGAAGAACCAAATCGAAATATCTTAGCCGAGTCACGATGAGCCTCGATCGCTTTCGATTCGCACGGCAATCTGCGCGTTTGGAACACGGGAGTGTGTCAAATGCCGCCACTGATTGTATCTCGAGAGCAATACGTTACGTCAGAATGTAGCACGGATAGCGTGGCGTGCGGTGAACCTAGTCCGAACGTTGCTTCCTGCCGGTGCGGTGCCAGTTGTTCCGCAACTTGGTGCAATATCGTGGCCCGAAATCTAAATCAACGCTCGTCACCGTGATCAACGTTGGCTTAACCACGCGACGACGTAAACGCTTTTTGTAATTGAACTGGCCGCCATTGTGGCTACAATGTGCACGAGCTTCCAGACGCTTCCGCTTGGAGCGCTGGAGTCTTTCTAGGTTATGACCGAATTCTCAGATGTGATGCGATTTTTCGCGTTCAAATCGTGGAAAGATGATTATTTAATATTTTTAAAAAGATTAATAAAAAAGTAATTATAAAGTCTATTATTAGAATAAGTATTATTGTCGAAAGAAGTATACAATATGTAGATTAAAAAGCTATGAACTGATGAAATAGATATGTTAATAATAAGTAATAAATTTACAGTAGATAAGAAAGGTATTACCTGTATAATAAATAATAATTTTTGTATGATAATATAGTAATTACGACAACTTGAAAAAAAAAGAAGTTTTTAGGAATGATTTAGCGAATTTTAACTGAATAAAAATTCGAAACATACTCTTATGTTTCCAAAGTCTTCTTTCGTAAATACCTCATTAGAAGTACGACCGGCTGTAGCACATATTTCCTCGAAAGGTTTTCTCGAAACTTTTTTCAAAACGAAAAGCGCGAGACCAACTTCGCTTTCTCGAAGTTCTGGCCACGAATACACGTCAGAATTTCGCTGCACTCTCGTAATAGAGAACGAAACCGGGACAACAATGACTACACGACAACTGGCTCTGGTTTCTTTCTTTTTTTTTTCTTTTTTTTATTTTACACGAACCGGGAGAAATACGACATCCCCTATACACGAAAAAAATCGAGTAACCTTCCAGGTCAGGTATTTCCTCTTATTTTTTTTTTAGCAACCTTTTCCTATAAAAAAGTGCTCGCAGAAAAATTTAAGACACGAAGTCTCTTAATCGATTCCAATGGATGAACACCGTCTTGATGATGCTTTAAGGAGCTTTAATGAACTTCGTTCAACCGGGGTATTGGCTGCGTTTGGATGAGAGCTTTGCATGTCGTCGTAAAATCTTCAATCTATTTCTGGAATAGTTTCTGACGATGAATTCTGAAGGATCCGCTGCTCTTTTAATTCCCTCAGAAATATAAGTTTCTCGTTCAATTCCGTTAATTGCAATTTTTTTTATTTTGTTTCCGTCTTGTCGTTTTAATTAATTATTATAAATAATATTAAAAATCTTGAAAATTTTTTATATCATAAATGGATATTTAGAGAATCTTTAATAAGGAAAATGAAATTCGAAAAGCGAGCAATCAACGAGAGAATAAATTGTTTCGTTATAAATTCAATAATTATTGTTTTTTCCAATCTCCAATTCATGCAGAGCAGATTTACAACAATATAATCTCTACTATATTAATAATTAATGTAACTTATATACTTTGATTAAATAATGTCATCTATTTAATTATTAATTTTTGAGATTACGTTCGAATATACCAATATTAATAATAATAAAATAATTATTAATTAATATTAATATTAATTATAATAATACTAAGAAATATTGGCACATCACGAATATTAAACACATACTCTTGTTAATAAATATTACGACATTCATTATGTATAATTGATTCATTATCCAGAAAATTATTGATTAAAATTTAATAATTAAATCACAATAAAAATACTCTAAAAATAATCTCTAAAAATATTTCTAAAATTTATAAGATTGATATTACATATACCCTCTGCTCGAATATCATTTTTCAAAAATAAAATTTTAAATTAAATTGAATTATTATTATTTTTTTTTCTATAATTCCATTATTAATTTATACAAACTAAAATTGTTCGAAGATTTAATTTGTCACCTCGTAAAGCAATTTCATTCCGCATAATGCACCACGATTAAATATTTGTAATATTTTAAACGAGCATGAAATTGTTTGGACGAGTAGTGTCACTGTAATCAGACACGAATACTACTCTCCTATTGTAATCATTATTCATCACGGAATAACACGGGTTCATACGTTTCGCGCGCGAAATAACTGTGTTATTTTGGACAACGTGAAAACATAATGTATCGCTCCTTTTACCTTTGTTTTCTTATCTTTAATGAAAATGTTTCTCCCGTAGAACTTTCCATAGGCCAGAATGTTCTTGCATTGTAAGTTGTTGAATAAACATCCCATTGTGCTTCTCGAACAATGGCGATATGGCTCGAACTCTTTATTTAATTGTACAGTACCTTCATCGGTACATTACAACTCTATTTCCTTTTCTTAAAAATCATCACGATAATATCCCCGTTCCTCTTAATATTTTAAACAATTAGAAAATTTGGAAAACATAATTAAAATTATCAATTCGTTGAATCATAACGCGTATAAATCGTGTATATCAGTTATATTATCGATCCGGAGGAATACATCGTTTCAAAAAAGTTATTCGTCAGAAGATAAAGAAATTCTGAATTCATTATTTCTCTTTATAATTATATATATATAATTTTTGAAATATACACGTGTACGTTTCTTTCGACGAAATTAACGATCCATTTAACTAAAAATTTGGATTTCTGTCCAAACAAAATTCCATCCTGATATTAAACGAGTAGTATATTCTCGAACACACACCTCCCCATTTATCTTTCATTTCTGATTTTATCTCTGACTCATCAAAAGAGCGTAGCACAGTCAAATTAATACACATTTGCTCTTTTCAACCTATCATCATTGGAAACTGGGTCAGAGTATACGCAACACGGTCGCGTGTCTTTAAATCGCGCATCTCAAATTCAAATCCGCCGTCGATAATGTAACATCCGGCGGGGAAGAACGTATCCACGATTTCGAAGCTAAAAATAATCTAACCCCTCTTCATAAAACTACTTCTTCTGCCATCTATGTTTCCTCAGTGTTGATATATTCGTGACCTCTTCAAAGCTATCTAATTTTCAAAATTATAAATCCAAATTCGAAAAAAGAATGTTTCGAGAAGTTCAAGCAAACAAGAGAAAAAAGTTGGAGGAGGCAACGATCGAGATGTAAAGAAGAGCAGAGAATGAAAAGAAGGATTGTTGGACGAATATAATCGAACTCGATCAATCAATAGAAATTGGCGGGCACAAATTGGACCGCATCTATTTCCTTCAACTTTTTCATTTTTCCACGAAAAGCGATAGCATTTTCTTTTTTTCTTTTCTTTTTTTTTGCATTTCTCTCCCTTTTCGCGCTTTCCTTTTCGATCTTTCTCCCTTCATCCAACGATCGAATAAAGCTTAAGAGATAAAACGGTGGATAAGTGAGAAAGATAGAGGAGTCCATTTCGAAGAAAGGATCTATTGAAACAGCAAGGAGAGTTGCTCGTGGCAAGGGGAAGGAAACGCCTTTACGGAAGTGTCATCGTGAACGGAAGGAACGAAGTTTCGAGCGGGATTCTGAGTTTGACGAACCTGATTCTATTGGCTTTCTTTCTTGCTTGCTTCTTCACGCTTCATCTTCCCTTCACCCGTATCCATTTATTTCCTGCCTTCCTTCACAGGGGTTGGCTCGAATTGTTGAGGGATTTCAGATCGTCCATATCGGAATTCTTTCTCCTTTGTCTTTTCCTCGTGCGGTGACCTAAGTGTGAAAACAATGTATAGCTATTGGATTATTTTTAAGAAACGGTGCAGTGATATTTATATAACGGATTGGAAAAATATTTTCGTCTTCATCGTTTATTTATCAATATAAAACTATTTCTTTTTTAATATTTTTTAATATTATATAGATAAAATATTTTAATCGTCCATGTGTCTTTTAAATATTAAATGAAATAGAATTTTCCAATTATACACATATACATATCCAGAAACTGAACATCTTTTGACGTCGAATTGAAATAAGATACGAGTCATTATTTTGTTCTAGAGATATTGAATTCCGAAATTTTTCCATAACTAATTAAATTTAGGAATTCATATATTTTTTTCATTTGTCAAAAATATTCGCAGCAAAACATTATACCGTTACAAATTTTATCATATGCAAAGAACAATTTACGTGTATAAATTTATAACAATTAAACACATCGTTCAAACAAACAACCTCGAGGCAAATTTACGAGCGGAGTCGTGTATTGTTTGCCAAAATGCTATCAAATAATTACACGTATAACTAATTTCTGTTGATAACAAGAGCAAGAACCCGCACACCTGGAACCAAGCTGTATAAATCTTTCCGCCTAGCTTTGAACAATGGAGGAAAGATCACTTTCAGCCAAGGATACGTGACGCGATACCGACTTCTCGTGAAACGTTTGTGTAAACGCGACTTCTCGGGATAACTTTCATAATTCATGTCGAATGATTTCACAGGAAACTTGGTCGGCCATCGTTCCTTACGACAGACAGAATTTCGAATCGTTAGACGCGCGAAACTGTGTCAAATCGTTGATTGCTTAGGATATCGTTCATGGTGTTAGAGAAGATGTGCTTTAGGCGCTTGAAGTTATGGCGAAAAATCGAAAAATAAAAATGCATCAATTTAAGAAAATAAATTTCTTTAAAGGCAAGATAAAAATTCATTTTTTTAATTACTTATTTATGATAGAAGCATGTTCTTTTGTAAAATATGATACAGTAAAATTTAGAATCTGTGATTTAATAAAAACAAATATATTTATTATTTAATTTTTTTAATTAAAGCGCAATAGCAGCCCGGATGAGATTTTTTCTCGATTTCATTTGATTTATTGAATCGTGAAAAATTTTTCTTATGAATGAAAGAAAAATGTATTCGTTTAAAGGCATAGGTATACTTTAAAAATTGTAGTTTCAATTATAAATGGAGTTTATTATGTGAGAATTAAATTGCGTAAAATTGATTGATAATTTTAATTTTTTCGTTCACGAATAATTACTATAATAAATATAATAAGTTTTAAATTAAAATTTTATTGCAATTCTGTGCTATGCATAAATATCTCCGAAAAAAGAGAAAAATGAATAACTGCAAAATGAAAAATGGAAGTTAAAACGCTGTTTGGAATTATTCAGATAAGATTTTTTGATTATTGAACATCTATATGGAAAAATAACGCGGATTTTGCAATTTTCATCCCTTGCCTCTGACACAACATTGGCCGAGGTCCAAGTGCAGTTACCGTTTCGCGGTTGATGCGAAATTCTTGGATCCGCGTTTCTTTCTACCTTTTGATCCCATTTCGTTCCTATTTACTATAAAATTGCGTTACGATCGTCTTTTACGATATTGAAAAATCGAAGATTTAATTTACCATATCCATTTTCGTATATTGAAATGCGATGTTATTTCGTGAAATAATTTTTTTTTAAAATAATTTCAATTCGACGATTTGAGATTCTATTTTCAAGAATCCAATATTCATCAATCATTCTAATAATGATAACAATAATGGATACGGAATATTGAATTTATGATCTCTATTTCATATTAGTCCAAATAAACCTATGTGCATCATAACATGATTTGCATTACGCTCAAGCAGGATAATTATGGAGGCTAGAAGGTAGAATAGGAATGTAATTATGTGCGTTATATAATCGGAATACAAATTTCAATATAATCTAATTGATAATTTAATCAAATGTTACAGGATCTCTGTGTGCTTTTTTAAATTGCATAATTATATTTCTGAATATATTTTTGAAGTGTCATATTATCTTGTTCAATATCTCGTTCAATTTTATTATTTTATTATGATATGTTTTATATCCAACATTTAAATTAGACAGATATTGATAAAAGAAGGAATCATGGAAAACAATTTTTCAGTTTTCAATTTATCGGAAACAATTTGTTACATAAATATTTTACAACGTAAGTGACGTTTACATACCGGAAAATAAAATTTTTATCAAAAGCGAATAAACCTAAAAAATAATATCATATAAAATGAATTGTTGACAAACTATGGTTGAATATTCCCTCCTCTTCTGAGTTTTCAAAAATCCACGACAACCTATATATCAAAAATGATCGAATCATAGTCGTTTTTGACGTCTAGTTTTCACATCACGTTGACAGCGAATAGTTCTGAACTCAAAATTGTTGATTTGGAAATTTCGACCTCTTTTTATTTTTCTATTTTTTTTTTATATTTTTTTTAAATCCCGCACGAGAAACGTGAAATCTTGTTGATAGGTAACTATTGTTACGAATAAAAGTAAAATTTTGTAAATACTTTTTTGCGTTTCTTAAATTTTTTTTCTCGTTATAACAATCAAAAGAAAGCCTCTATCTTTCCATATATATTAAAAAAATAATTACTCGATATATAATAATAAATCTGGTTAAACCAATCATCCCTAATCGAATTAATTTCTATTCATATCATATCATTTTCACAATTTAAAAATCATTCACAGATTTCATTGAAATTCTAGGATTATCTTTCTCACAATTCCCCCAATTTCTTCCCCTTCAAAGTTCAACATAGCCTTCACCCTCTCATCTTTCCACGAACCCCACTTTCCCCTCAACCCAAAATAACTCCACATCTGGCCCTCCAATACCAATCCCTAACCCCAAATTCCATATCGACCATTCCACCACCAGATTGTCGAACCCCATTTCCACCATATGTTCACATCGATGCCCGGAAAGGTGCTAATTATCATCGATTCCCACGCAATCTGTCACACGAAGGAGCACGTCTCTGCAGGAGAAGCGCGTCTTCGACCAGCCTCCACAGAGGCAATTCGAGGGTGGCTCTGGTCTGTAATCATTTGCCAGCAATTTGCCTCGAGGGCCAGTTTACCATTAATGGCCTATCTGAGTCGCGTGACCGACCAAGAATATTCCAAACGGTGGACGCTGTCGAATTCACCTTTTCGATGTATTTAGGTAAAACGTAAATTACGCCCCCTCTGCACTAACCGCAACGCATTTGCGCTCGAACGGGGTGCAACTTGAAATTATGTAACGCGCAAGGAGACTACTACGCAAATTGCGAGCACAATTTGCACGAGAATTTATCGTGAGGCGTCAGAGCCTGAAGCCATGTCTGCTCTTTGACGGCCGCTTCGTGGATACGTTTTTGAAGGGATGAACTTATGGAAATGAAATTATTCTCGGTTTCGGCTGGTTTCCAGTACAGTTGCCGGGCTTCGAATGGGGAGGGGAGGGGATGTAAGCTTGGAATTGTCTCGTCTGTTGTTGAAAATTTTCGATGTTCCTGGGATTTTGGTGAATTGGACAGAGGTAGTAGTAATTTAAGTTGGATCCACAGTTCTTTAAACGATGGAATAAAATTGAAGTGGGCCTATTTCGTTTTTTTTTTCTTTTCTTTCTTTCTTTTTTTTTTTTTGTCATTTTGTTTGCACAGGATTAAATAAGATTAGAATTATATTGATTAAATTTGTGGTTTTTGAAAAGGGGAAAAATTTCGTTATTATTATTAAAATAATTATCTTTAATAGTAGTTATTCTGAAGAGTGTAATTCTGTATTTGTTCAAAATTTTTTTAAAATTAATTTGGCTATTAATTTATTTATTCTATGTTCTATGTTATATTATATGTGTTTGATTGTATTTGATTCCATTTGCATGGAGATAATATTTGATATTAATGGTAATTTATAATCTTCATTAGTAATATTAATTTCTCGATGTAGCAGATTTGTGTTTGAAGCAAGGTTGTATGTTCGAATTGACTTGACATTAATAATGTGGCATGTATTTCGCTATAATAAACTCACTATTGTGTATTTATTAATCGTAATAAATTCTCTATTAATATTATTCACCGTTAATATTTATTAATTGTAATAGATTCACTGTTATATATTTATTATTATTAAATATATATTATATTATTAATGTCAAATCAATTCTCCCATATGTGACACAAATGCGCTACATCAGTTGAGAATTTAATATTATCAATAAAGATTATAAAGCACCAATTAATACTGGATCTCGCCCAAATGGAAATAACGTTTAGCATAAATTTCAACTAATCATGTAACTTAATTTAAATGAAATGAAATTACTGAAGAGCTCTTGTATGAAAAATACTATAGAAGAAAATATTTAAAAGATTTATTTAATCTGTATTTTTTGTTTTTTTTTTTATTTTGTATAAGAAATTATTTCGATCCTTGACATCTGTTTAATTAGATGTAAAATTTTAAAAAATTTTTCCCCAGAAATCTTCCTTCCATGGAAGATACAAACGTTACATATGACACGCTTAATTTAATTTCAGTCAAGTTAAAAGGACGAGTGAGTATTCCTTTTGTGAACAGGTTCTTATGTACGAGAGCTTTTAAGAGGACTTCAAAAGAGGACTTCAAATTCGATTTTAAAAACTTAGCAAGCATTTTTTAACAACTCTACGAATCTTCACGATCTCTATAAATGTAATAAAATATGTATTTGCCATCTGCAGTGCAACTATTACATTCTGTTTTCACTTAGAGAAAATTTATGTTGCCTTCTCAGGTAATTTTTGTATCTAACGTTGAAATATTTAATGAAATTACCTTTTTTGTCTCTAAATAACAAAAAATATTATATGTATTCAAAGATATTTCTCTTTCTTATTATTTTTCTGAAAGAGAAACTCTTTATTTATATTTTTTCCGTTATATTGCGTT